TTCAACATAGATATTGGAATCACCCACAATGAGGCAGGATTTGAAACCACAGGAACAGATAGAACCACTGGGAGAGAAAAGGCAAAATGCTAGAAAAAAATCTTGGTGAACAGCTATAATTAGGAGACAGTAAGATGATGACATTGCCGTAAAAGGCAAGGAAGAGGGAATAATTAATTCCAGAGATACAAGAACCAAGGGACCACAATCACATGGCAGCCAAGGAGTAAGGTTTCTTCTTCTGCTTTTTTTTTTTTTTTTAAAGATTTTAAGTATTCTCTACACCCATTGTGGGGCTCGAACCCATAACCCAAGAGTCGCATGCTGCACTGAGCCAGCCAGGCACCCCAAGAAGTAAAGTTTTCAAAGGAAAGTATTGGTCGACATTGTTGACTGCTACAAAGATGTTAATGATTCCAAAATACTCTTGAAAAATTTAAGAACAGCAGGAACATAATGGTCATGTGCACTTACTTGGATCCCTTTTTGTCTACTCTTTGGAGGACTTTGGAAGGGAAGGAAAATATAGGTTGTCATGTTGGAGGCAATGGTAAGGTAATGGTGGGAAGGGGTCAGTGGGTAACTGAGAACATTGTGGGCAAAGAGGAAGGAGCCTAGAGAGAGGGAAAAAGGTGAGGAGCACTAATGGAAGGGGAAAACAGGAAGATGTGCAGAGGCTGAAGGTCACAATAAGGCTAAAAACCAGATTCGATAGGAGAGATGAAAATGTGAATACGGAGGTGGTCAGCGAACACGAGATATTGACAAAAATGGGTAATGGATTTCAAAATATCTAGCGGATAATAGACATAAAGATAAAAGTCAATACAGGTGAGAATGTTAATGCCCAGCAAACTCAACAAAAGCCATCAAGAAGGAGGAGAGCACTAAAATTCACTAAGGACGGCAGGGAAGAAATCTGGAAATTAGAGGCCAACAGAAGGAGATGGAAGTCGGTGATAGGACACTGGCCCAATGGTTAAAAATGAATTGGTAAGGGGCACATGGATGGCTCAGTCAGTTAAGCATCTGACTTCAGCTCAGGTCATGATCCCGGGGACCAGGGATCAAGTCCCACATTGGGCTCCCTGCTCAGTGGGGAGCCTGCTTCTCCTTCTCCCTCTGCCTGCTGCTCCCCCAGCTTGTGCTCTCTGTCAAATAAATAAATAAAATCTTTTTTAAAAATGAGCTGGTAAAACTTTAGTGGGATGAGTATAACCGAGGAAACCAGAGAGCCAACAAAGCGTGGGATAAGGGGGTGCAGGGTTGGGAGTGGGGGAGACATTCATTTTATAAAGAGATATAACTAACATAAAATCTGCTAAGGAGGTTCCAAGGCAGATTCCAAGAGGAGAGGCTAGAACAGAATCCTATTCCAGGGATCCAACATAACAGAACTGCAGTATGACTGATGGCACATGTACATCCTTTTTTGTACCAGGCACAGGTCCATGACCCCTGCAAACTGTGGACATTCAAACAAAAGTACTGCATTCAGTGAGAACCTACAATCCCATTTTATTGCATAATAATGCATACATATGCAGATCAAAATGTGAGTTACTAAAGATGGATATAAAACATGAAAAATGATGGAGACAGGGGTAATGAGAACAGCAAAAGCCAGGGTTCCCTGGGGCAAGCACATCAGTTTCTTGATAATTTAACTCCTGACAGTTAAATGGTAAAGGCTACATATAGGGAGATAAGAGATAAACAAAAGTAGGCAGCTAGTAGTTTGGCAGAGAAACCAAAGTACTTCTTACTTTGAGAAAGAAAACCAAAACCAGATTACAGAAGGCTGCATGGCCTCTGAAATTCACAAGGCCTTTGTGAGACTTCTCACACACAGAAGCACAATGACTTGTCCGGGACTCCAAAACTCCTGGTAGGTCAGACTGTAGACAGATACACACGGGTGCCCTCATGAGATGGTATCAGGTTAGGGAAAGGCCAGTGAAAATAAGTGACTTGAAGAATAAGAAAGGAGGTGGAATGGAGAGAGAGAGAAGGCAAGAGGGGCGACATGGAGGATGGGGGGAAGGGGCAGTGAGATGGGAAAGCAGGGAAGAAAAGAAAGAAACCATGAAAAGATGAAGCTGCCAAAGGCATCAGACCCTTATCTCCCTATCTCCGATTATCTTCTTATGCAAGAGCGTGACCTGCCTTATATAAAGGCAACAAACAGCAGAAAATGAGTGTTGGTGACCCCTAAATTAGTGTGAATAATATTTAAATAAGGGAACAGACTATTTCAGGAACCATGTAACATTCAGTGGTCACGGCAATTACATTTATGTCAACTCTTTCTTCTTGATCTTGGAATAATTGCTTCACGGTTAACACCAGGCAAGATATCTCTTTATCCACAGAATTGTGTGTGGAGGCTTTATTAAGCAATTAACCCAAGTAGGCAAATAAACACTCTCATGAAGCATCAAGATTAGCACGGAGAGATATATGCGGTAGAACATAAGCAGAAAAGAAAATGAGGAAGATAAAGCTTTGTACTGTGAAAACATAAGAAGTAAAAATTGCCTTATACTGAAAACTTACAGTAAAAAGGACACAATGTGAGCATGATGATGTTATACCACTTATCACTGACAGGTGCTTTATAAGCTTTTCCATGGGACCTGTATATTATGTTACTTCATATTCATTCAACCTTATGAAATGCAGAAAACGGCTATCATTGCTTTTAGTTAACAGATGAAAAGGTGAGGCTTAGAAAGGTAAAATCACTTGTCCATGGGTAAACCGTCAGTAAATAACAGACACTAGACTTGAACCTGGATTTTCTGACTCTTGGGGCAGTGGTCTGTCTCATCCTCCCACATACTCAAACACCTGGACTGAATGAGCAGTATTCCTACCCATTAGCAGAAAACTAGAAGAAATGGTATCTAAATAACACCCCCAAACACTGGGACTCCATGATTCCACCATGCTCACTTCCCTTGAATGCCCTCGTGACAAAGAGCAACTTCATGCAATCACACACACACACACACACTCTGTGTGTGTGTGTGTGTGTGTGTGTGTGTGTAGAGAGCTGCAAAACCAACACTTAGGACATTAGGAGTCAATAATGAATATGAGACTAGAGCACTGAAGCCTGCTTTTCTGCATAGAAAGAGTTACCTTGCACCAAGTTCCTCTTTGCATAAAACACTGACATTTTCATGATGTTTAGGGAGCCTGCTTTTGGCTTCCAAAAGCTCTGGCGCCATACCATGCCATCACTGTAACTGCCCTCCAGTGGGCCATCAAAAGCCCAGCTAGAACATTTTGAATATAGCAGTTTGCTTGCCACCAAAACACTAAGTTGCGATATTTTATATTTATCTCTATTTAAATTTTAGTGATGCTACATAAATGTTAACATGGTCTCATGCTAAAACAACCACGGATAAGTCTTAATAACACCACATACTGGCACACCCCTGGGTGAGTTATGGCCTGCTACACAGGCCTAATGCATGCTTCTCAAGTTACTTAGTCTTCTTTAAATAAGATGTGACACAAGATGTTACACAGTTTCCCCCAAGAAATGTGTTTCCAGAAGCAGTGGCAAGGGACATGTAGGATAATTTGCTCATATTGAAAGTGGAAAGAAGGTACTTGGGATTATAGGAAAGAATTCCAAAAAGAGTTTGGGGAGAGAGGTTAATAATGTTTGATTTAGTTATTTCATGGCTTGAGAAACAAAAAGTGAGCTTCCATAAGTTCTCAAGCCTCTGAAGCTGTAAGGATAAGACCCTGGACTTCTCTCTAGGGCTGAAATCACAGCGACCTATGACAAACTCACAGATTCTCCACCCTTCCAGTAGAGGCACACGCAAACATCTCCTTGGGCTTCCTGAGAGACTGTCTGGGTCTGGTAGGTGAGACCAAGGGAGGCAGAGTGCCTGGAAGCCAAAGCCTACACTGTCAAAAATACAACCACAGGAGAACCAGGGCTTGAAGGTCTAAGCAGGTCCTGCAGGGTGCTCAGCTTCCCTCAGGAAACAATTCTTCCAGCCTTACCAGCTCTGCCCCTCAATTTACTAAGAAAAGATCCAGCAGCCTTTCACAGTGAGGAGACATCAGTCTGAGATTCTGATTAATAACAATAAGCAAGGATGAAAGGCAAAGGAAATCTTTTCAAAAATGAGCCTACAATGGCAGAAATGTTTACAATAGCCTTTCTCCTGCAACATCTTAATCCCTGCACCCTAGCAGAGCAACCCCTAATAGCTACTACCCATGCCTTTGCACCAAGAATCAGAATACTGGTTCCTATTTTAGAAGCACAAATAGTCCTAAGAACAGATTTTCAAAAATGGAAGGAACTGTGGCTCCAATGGACCAACTGCAGCTTGAAGACATCTTGACTTTTTTAGTATTATGATGTGGTGCCCACACATCTTTCTGCATCCACTCTTAAGAGATGCTGTGTCCCCATTCCTCTTGCCTTATCACTCTTCTAGCATAAGCCAGACTAACCGAAATTTAAACAAATCCCAACCCAAAGAGTACAATAACCTGAATGCATGTTGATTGGTACCAGACAATAAGGAGAAGGCATATTCCCCCCAAAAGGCCCTCCTCAGTCAGGTTCAACATTTATTCATCACCAGATGTAGTTTCATTGCAAAAGGATCAACTCTTAGAGTTCATTCCCTTCCACTCAACCAGCCATGGGTGGTCTAACTTTTTATTAGCTTTGAATGCAACAGAGAATGTGACCTAAAATACATTATTATATGTCTGTAAGATGAGAGGGAACAGAGAGTCACACATGGTAACAACACGGTGAAAATTCTTATCTACTTGGAATAAGGGCAGAATCAAATTCTTACCCTAGTTTCACTAGGATTACAATGAAATGTGTATAGGGATGTGCAAGAGTTCAAGTGTAACCTTCTTCCAGGCCAATCAGGCCAAAAGTAAAGCTAGACTTCACCTGAAGGGCCCTAACAATCCTGGCCAATGGGATGTCCATCCACGCTGCTTACCTGGAAAAGGCAGCCCCCAGCACAAACGCAGCATACTCCTTCACCAGGGGCTCTGTGCTGTTCAGCCCATTGATCACCACTTGAAGGCCGCCAAAGGAAAGCAGGTCCTGTGCATTATCCATCTGCAACAAAGGTACAGCCATCAAGGAAAGAAGAGCCCTTCTTATTGCCTTTTTTTGGTGAGTATTCAAAAAAACCTAAAAAGTCAAGTAAAAAGCAATGGTGGCCATTGTGACCAACTAGAAAAGACCTGTAATAACAAATTCTTAAATTTGAGATTTCCGAATTCATCTAACATGATTTATGAGCACCTGTGTGGGAAATGGCTGAAATGGCACCTAGCTATTACTTTTGCCAAATATGTCCTGGAAAATGCTATAACCATAACAAATCACAAAGCTTGCTCCTAATGTACAAGCTGTTAACACAAAGATCTGGCATCATCAGGACTACTAAATGGTGCCATGCTTCCTGTTCATGTCCAGTCCCAGTACAAGTAATGGAAGCAGCAGACACTTACAAAAAAAGAAGTCCTCTCTCTTCCTCACTTCATACAGTCTAAGGCTGACTGATTCTGAGGACAAGTGTGATAAAATCTGCACAGAAGTCTCTCCCTCAAAGGCTGTACTCTAGGCCTTTGTTACTGGCTAGTAGCTATTATTGGATAGTGCATAACATTTCCATAATCAAATAAAATTCTATCAAATGGCACTGGTCTAGGCTACCCTTTAAGGTCCAAAGCCCCAAGTCTAGACTATTTCCCTTTTATTCGATAGGGAATCTCAGTCCCCAGGCTTCCTTAGTATCCTGGAACAAGAAAACTCAACTTGTTCAGAAAGGTCACTGGAGGGGCGCCTGGGTGGCTCATTCGTTGGGCGTCTGCCTTCGGCTCAGGTCATGATCCCAGGGTCCTGGGATCGAGCCCTGCATCGGGCTCCCTGCTCGACGGGAAGCCTGCTTCTCCCTCTCCCACTCCCCCTGCTTGTGTTCCCTCTCTCACTGTCTCTCTCTGTCAAAATAAATAAATAAAATATTAAAAAAAAGAAAGGTCACTGGATCCTATTTTCTCCATGTAGTAACTACAATCTCCCTTGGAAATACCTTTGTTGCTACAAAGACTGCCTCTTGCCCACAGTCTGATCCCACTCTACAAATCATCAGGAAAATGCAGGAAGCTAGCCCAACACCTTTTTCCTCCAGATGCTTCTGTTTCCTACCTGACTGTGTCCTTCCAAACTAGACAAAGACTCTAAGAGAGAAATTGAGTTTGAAGGACTTTGACTCTGCCTGTTCCTGGGTGGACCTAGACTGTTTTCACCACTTAGAAGATCATTTTTATATATTCTGATATAATCTCCATAAGAACAGGGTTTTTTTCTGCCTGACCATTGCTGCAGATCCAGTGATTAGAACAATGCTGAGTGTATACTTAGGTGCTCAATAAGTAACTGTTAAACCAATGAACAAATATGATCAGAAAAAAACGTTACTGAAATAAACTCCACAGTGAGTAAAAAAGGCAACCCGGGGCATCTGTGCCAACAAAATGGATGGGTCCCTGATACCAGAGACCTAAATAGATGGCCAATCCAGGGTCCCGAAACAAGTGTGGAGTCTGCTCTGCCATAAGGGCCCCCAAGTCAGGGCTGGGATTTTTCTTCCTCAGTCTGTCCTTACGAAGAGGAGTTATTACTGGACCATAGGCCAGCCAACTAGGGAGACTCAGAGCGGGGTGTTTGGCTGATGTAAGTACAAATAATACTTCATAAGCCTTCCTTTCTCACATACTCTAGTTTTTTTGTTTTTTTTTTAAGATTTTATTTATTTGACAGAGAGAGAGACAGCGAGAGAGGGAACACAAGCAGGGGGAGTGGGAGAGGGAGAAGCAGTCTTCCTGCTGAGCAAGGAGCCAGATGTGGGACTCGATCCCAGGACCCCGGGATCATGACCTGAGCCAAAGGCAGACGCTTAACGACTGAGCCACCCAGGCGCCCTCACACACTCTAGTTCTAAAATCTAAGAACTCACTGCCTCTTTTTGATCCTCCCCCCTTCCAAGTTTTCTGGATAACAAAGCCATGGCTCAGAGTCCTGTCATTCAGTGCCTGGGGTGGCTACTTGTCAAAGCTGGTAGGAGTTCCTAATGGAGTGGCTGCCAGTCTAACAGCCCCAAAGCAACACAAAGTCATAGAGGTTCTGTTGCAGATGTAGTTTGTCTTTATTACTACAAAGACAATTCAGGATGTTATAAATTCTAACATTTACATAAGCACCTCAACCTTTTCAATATGTTTTCTCATTTGTTATTTCACTGAAGATGCGGAAGAAAAGAGTCATTCTGCCCACTGTACACTCAGAAGATCAAGCTCCAAAATCTGGGCCCTGCTCAGCATCACACAGGAGAAGGCATGATCAGGTCCCAGGTCTGCAGCTCCACATCTAGGTCTGGGGCCACAGCTTTCCCCAGGCTGCCTTCAGGAGGGGGTGAGACAGGTAGACAGAAACTCAAGGCAGAGGGAGGGAGCACATGGGGAAGGACATAGTAGGAACTGTGCTAACACTCCAGAGGAAAAGAGAGAACCAGAGCACTGGCCAGACAATCAGAGAACAGGAAATAGACAAAGGGAGAAACTATATTAAATAATTGAGGAGACATTTGAAGAAAGGCAAACACACTGCCCTAGGGTACATGGGACAGACAGAAGCTACACATCATAAGTAATTCACAACCGTTTTCCAAACGGTTCGAGGTTTTGCTTTTCATAGATCCTGTTTAATAATTCCAGTAGGGCTGGGGCGCCTGGATGGCTCTGTCGATTAAGCGTCTGACTTTTGATATCGGCTCAGGTCATGATCTCAGGGTTGTGGGAGCGAGCCCCACATCAGGCTCTGTGCTCAGCGAGGAGTACGCTTGAGATGCTCTCTCCCTCTGCCTCTCACCCCTCCCACGTGCACGTGCATGCTCTCTCTAAAAAAATTAATCTTTATAAAAATATAGAAATATATGAATTCCAATATGGCTGTGAGGAATCCTTGGTCAGATTTAGTTTGGGTCTTTGAACCCCATGGCTCCTCAAAGCTTCTATTCAGTGAGTCGAGAACAGCAGTGGACTGGTGAAGTTCCGGGCAACAGAAGTCCTATCTTCCACAATGCTAGCACTAAATTACCTGAATTCCCCTTCACAACTAGAATTAAAGGTTAAGCTGTGTCTTCTTTAATTCCCCCATGAAATCACAACTCAACCTGTTGCATGATAGCCTGACATACCAGCCCAAAGCAAGGACCTTGTACTTCCAATCCAAAGGCCAATGACTCAGAACGTTTATGACTCTTCTGCCGAAGAGAGCAAGTTTGGCCTCACCAGGGAACCGGTTCCTGGTCTGACCTGGGACTGAGTTAGGTGATGTCGAAGAAAGTGTTTACCCCACCCAGTAACTCATGAAAGCAGAATAGGACGTCACCCTAGAGACAACACCGCCAGATAACCGGCTGACTTGCATGGAAAAAAACAATTTTGTCAGGGCCCTGCTAGCCTCCTGTGTACTCACTCCCCTCTAGGTATGATCAGCTCTCCAGTTATTTTGGCCTTTTATGCTCAACTAAAGGAAGAGTCTGTAGAGACCTGATACCTAAAGATCCACCCAAGTATGTTAAATGAGAAAAAATAAAAGCTGCCAAGATCAGAGCAGGACTAAGTTGGCCAATAACCTCTAAGATCCTTAATCCTTTAAATATCTGTAACGGAAAAGCTGTTGAAATTCTTGTTTTTCACCCTGGAGAGAAACACAGGAAAGAGGAAAGAGAACTCAGGCCCACTTTCTCTCTAAGAGGATCATAGACCTGCTATTTGAGTCCTGAGAAAGAGTTATGAGCAAAGAAAGAAGATGAAGAGGCCGCATCATAATTCCTGCAGATACAGTATACACTCATCCTCTCTAACCACAAAGGCTGACAAAATCAGAAAGAAAGAAAGAAAGAAAGAAAGAATGTCTTTTAGCCTAGTTTATAGAGAACAAGGACGCAGTCATGTGTGGGAGGATGTTGAAGATCTGTGTCTTGATGAGGATCTCAAACAAGCTTTTGATTATGATTACACAGTCTTCCTGGGCCACCATCGTCCCTAGTCTGAATTATGGCAATAGCCTCCTATCTGGTTTCCGTGCTTCTACCCACACCCCCTGCCTCCATTCTAATTCTCAACAAAGCAGGTGGAGGGATCCTTTCAAAATAAGTCAGAGCATGTTGTTCTTCTGCTCAACAGCCTTTAATAACATCCAGTTTCATATTCTTTTCCATGCTCGACAAGGCGGTCTATGATCTTCCCCCCATTATCTGTCTAAGCTTCATCTACGTCCCTCTCTCTTCTTTTAGCTCCAACCACACACTGACTTGTTCTGATCCCACAAACACACTAGACATGCTCCCACCTTAGGGCTTTAGTACTTGTTGTTTCTCCTGAGATGCTCCTTTCCAATATTGCCAGTCCTTACCATGAACTACTTTTTATTTGCCCACAGTATTTATCAACTTAAAACACACCGTCCATAATTTACTTATTAGTTATATTTATTATCTATCTGCCTCCGCTAGAAGCTAAGCTCCAATTTTGTTCACAGATGTATTTTAAGTGCCTGAAATAGCTCTTGGGACTTAACAGGCATGCAATAAATTTATTGAATAAATAAACAACTTCTCTTGCTCCTTCTCCTTAGATCTACCTATGTCTTTTTGAGCTTCATTCAAACGATTCCAGTATCCTAGAGGAGACAGAATGACCAAAAGGTTAAGAGCACAGTTTAGCGTCAGACAGACCTTTTTGCAAATCCCAGCTCTACCACTCGCTAACTGGGTGACCTTGGGCAATATCAGGTCTGACCTGTGTCTTATTTGCCTCAGTGATAAAATGGAACTAGTAACAAGGCCCATAAGGCAGCTGTGAAATTCAATGAATTGGTATGTATAAAGCACTTGACTAAGTGCCTTGTCTATGATAATGCTCAATAAGTATTAACTATGATAATTACAGCACAAGTGTGATCAGTCCTTTCCCTGCTGCAAACTCTCCAATGGTTCTTAAAATCAAGGATAAAATCATAAAGAGCGTGATATTCCCAATTCCACCTCTCTGAATCTCTAACCTTTCCACTTTATCTATGCTACCCTATCCAGTATTTTCCAGGCCCTTAATCTCTCCAAGCTCTTCTCAACCTCAAAATCTTTGCACATGCTGTTTCCTCTGCCTGTGGAACTCTGATTCAAGGGTTGGCAAACTTTTTCCAAAGGGCCTGACGGTAATGATTTTGGCTTTGTGAGCCATAGGGTTTCTGTCACAACTCTTCAACCCCTCACTGTAGCATAAAAACAGCCCCAAACAATAGAACAATACATAAAGAAACAGATGCGGCTGTGTCCCAATAAAACTTTATCTAGAAAAGCCTTCCCCAACACCCCTGACTAGGCTAAGTTCCCCCGTTATATACTCCCACACTACTCTCTGGAGCCCTTATCACAATCTTAAGTTTAAATTATCTCATTTTATTGTTCATTGTTCATGATTTAATTGTTCCCTCTTCCAGACTATAAGCTACATAAAACAGAGACCATGGCTGTTTTGCCCCTGCTGTATAATAGGTGTTGAAAAATAATGGACGTAACACTGCAAATGAAAAAGAGGTTGGCCCTTTCTTCTAGAATATATCTTACTACAGTAGCTATTGGCCTAGGTTAAAAATACTAGACGCCCTGAGAGAGGAGCAAAGATGCTGATGATGTTTTCTCAGGATTTAGGGCAGGAAGGTTTGCTGTTGAAGATGTTACTTAAAAGTCAGATTTATGGACAAAGAAATACGATACCTGATGGACATAATATTCGAGATCAAAGAGTGCAGCAATCTTCTCTTCTAGGCTGGAGCTGGAACTGTTGAACTTGTTGATCAACCGTACCATGATCTGCATGTCAGTCTCAATGACAACATTCAGCTCCTCAAACTCCTTCTTTAGTTCCTCGATGGGGCGAAAGAGTCGTTTAACCTTGGCCTGCCTTGCCTAAGAAGATAATTGAAGCAAAAAGATAATTAGATCAATTGGAGACATCTCTCCAAGACAGTTGTCGCCTATCATGGATGCCCATTCTCAAGGAATTACTGCTCCAGGATTCAAAACCTTCTTTCATCTGTACTATCAAAAAATCCTCCTACAAGAATACCTCAATTTATTGCACTTCACTTTGTCAAACTTAGAGCTGTTACTTCTTCTTTTTTTTTTTTTTTTTTTTACAAATTGGAGGTTTGTGGCAACCAGCATTTAGCTATTCTATCAGCGTCATTTTTCCAACAGCATTTGCTCACTCTGTGTCTGTGTGTCATATTTCGGTAATTCTTGCAATATTTTGAACTTTTTCATTATTATATTTGTCCTGGTGATCTATGATCAGTGGTATTTGATATTACTATTGTAGTTGTTTTGGTGTGCCACCAGCCACACCCATATAAGACAGTGAACTTAACTGATAAATGTTTTGTGTATTCTGACTGCTCCGCTGATAGGCAATTCCCCCATCTCTCTCCTTCTTCTTGGGCCTGCCTGTTTCCTGAGACAATGATTTTGAAATTAGGCCAATTAATAACCCTACAATGGCCTCTTAAGTATTCAAGTGAAAGGAAGAGTCTCATGTCTCATTTTAAATCAAAAGCTAGAAATGACTAGGCTTAGTGAGGATGGCATGTCAAAAGCTGAGATAACTAAAAGACAGGCCTCTTGTGCCAAACAGTTAGCCAAGTTGTGAATGCAAAGAGTTCCTGATGGAAAGTGAAAGTGCTATTCCAGTGAACACACAAACTGTAAGAAAGCAACACAGTCGTATTGCTGATGCGGAGAAAGTTTTAGTGGTCCGGATAGAAGGTCAAACCAGCCACAGCATTTCCTTAAACCAAAAAGCCTAATCCAGAGCAAGGTCCTAAAATCTCTTTAATTCTATGAAAGCTGAAAGAGATAAGGAACCTGCAGAAGAAAAGTCTGAAGCTAGCAGAGGTTGGTTCATGAGGTTTAAGAAAACAAGCCATCTCCGTAACATAAAAGTGCCAGGTGAAGCAGCAAGTGCTTATATAGAAGCTGCAGCAAGTTATCTGGAAGATCTAGCTAATTCGTGAAAGTGGCTAGACTCAGCAACAGGTTTTCAGTGTAGACAAAATACCCCTCTATTGGAAGAAGATGCCATCTAGGACTTCCATAGCTAGAGGAGGAGAAGTCAATGCCTGGCTTCAAAGCACGGGCTGATTTTCTCGTTAGGGGCTAATGCAGCTGCTGACTTTAGGTTGAAACCATTGTTTATTTGCTACTCCAAAAATCCTAGGGCCCATAAGAATTAAGCTAAATCTACTTGGCCTGTCCTCTATAAATGGAACAAAAAAGCCTGGATGACAACATGTCTATTTACAACATGGTTTACTGAATATGTTAAGACAAACATTGAGACCTACCGTCAGAAAGAAAAAATTCCTTTCAAAGTATTACTGCTTATGGACAACGCACCTGGTCACCCAAGAGCTCTGAGAGATGTACAACAAGATTAATGTTGTTTTCATGCTTGCTAACATATCTATTCTGCAGCCCATGGATCAAGAAGTCATGTTGACTTCCAAGTCTTAATTATAATAATAAGAAAATACATTTGGTAAGGCTACAGTTGCCACAGATAGTGATTCCTTTAATGGATTTGGGCAAAGTAAACTGAAAACCTGTTGCAAAGTATTCCCATTCTAGATCCCATTAAGAACATGATGGGAAGAAGTCAAACTATCAACATGAACAGGAGTTTGGAAGAAGTCGATTCTAAGATTCATGGATGACTGTGACGAGTTCAAGTTTTCAGTGGGGGAAATAAGTGCAGATGAGGTAGAAATATCAAGAGAATTAGAAGTGGAGCCTGAGGATGTGACTGAACTGTTGCAACATGATAAAACTTTAATGAATGAAAAGTTGCTTCTTCTGGATGAGCAAAGAAAGTAGTTTCCTGAAATGGAATCTACTCCTGGTGAACATGCTGTGAAGACTGCTGAAATGACAACAAAGGATTTAGAATACTACATAAACTTAGTTGATAAAGCAGTCAAAGGGTTTGAGAGAATTGACTCCCATTTTGAGAGAAGTTCTATTGTGGTATAATGTTATCAAACAGCATCACATGCTGCAGAGAAACTGTTCATGAAATTGTTCAATGTGGCAAACTTCACTGCTTTCTTATTTTAAGAAATCGCCACAGCCACCCTAATGTTCAGCAACCACCACCCTCATCAGTCAAGCAGCCATCAGCATTGAGACAAGACCCTCCATGAGCAAAAGGATTACAATTCACTAAAAGCTCAAGGTGGTTAGCATTTTTTAGCAATAAAGTACTTTTTGAATTAAGGTATGTATATTGTTTTTTAGACATAATGCTATTGCACATTTAGTAGACTGCAGTACAGAGTAAACATAACTCTTACATGCACTGGGAAACCAAAAAAGTAATCTGACTTGATTTATTGCAGTGGTCTAGAACCAAACCCACACCGTCTTCAAAGCATACCTGCACCTTCTAAGATGCCCACAGAAGAGAGCCCTCAGAGTCTATCTATATAGACTTCTGCCCCAAAAACACACTCAAGATTTTCCAGGTTCACTTATCCCAATCTGACTTCTAATGTTCAAGAAGAATGGAAAGTCTTCTTGCTGCCATCACTGAGGTCAGGGGAAGCAATGCAAGCTCACCTTCAATCCCTAAACTCAGTTGAAAAGGCTGAGGTCTAAGGTGGAATAATCCACACCTTGGTTCTGTATCTTCTACAATCATTTACTATCTTTGCTGTGCCCTGCCCAATCCAGCAACATTTTAGGGAAACCCAGATGTAGGAAACTGTGGGTAAAGAGCTATCAGAGTAGGAGCAATTTGCTGATGAAAATTAAATCACTCTCATTACTGTCAAACTAACTACAGGTGTACAATTTGTTCAACTGTTTGAAGTGGCTAAATTACTGTATGTACTATACTCAAGTCTCAATTTTCTCTCAATCCTTCCCCACCCCACACACATACAAAAATTTAAAAAATGAAGTTATGTTGGAGGTGAATAAAAGACTTCAATTAGATATTTTATACATGTGACACTCCCATTTTCTTCCCAATTTTAGAGGACAGTGCTTATAAATAGAGTCCAAAAGGTCACAGTGGTTTGTGTCTCTATCTTCCAAGAAAAATTAAAAGGCAGGAATATTTATAAAAAGCAGAATGATGAGCAGCTGTCAGCTCCAAATTGCTCATCTATTACCTATGGATTTTCTCCCCAGTTACAAGTACTCCATAGAAACACCAACCAAAGAAATGAATCAGCCTCTCTTAAAAAAGACCAAGCCCCTAGCAGAGCAATGCTACCTATGGGATATCATTTCCTGCTTCTTCAGGCTAAAACAACAGTGAAATGCTCTCCCTACACCCAGCTAAAGGACTCTGGATGGCCGCCAAAGGCAGGGCAAAGAGGTCTGGGGAAGCTGAGTTACTGCCTAGAGCTGTGGGATGTCAGGCAAGTGAGCAGGATAAGAAATAAGTCACCTCCACCTCACGAAAATGATGTGTACCTGGCCCTCAGGAAGAGGGCCTATTTTAAGAAAAAAAAAAAACAAAACCTTTTTATTTTGCAATAATTATAAACTCACAGAAAGTTACAAAAATAATACACAGAGTACCATGTACCCTTGGTTCAGCTTCCCCCAATGGCAACATCTTACGTTAACAGTACACTAACAAAACCAAGAAAATGACAAAGGTATAATACTGTTAACTAGACTATAAGCCTTACTCAGATTTTATCAGCTTTTACATGTACACATTTGCATGTATATGTGTGTATATTATTCTATACAATTTTATCCAACATATATATTCATGTATCCACCAGAACAATCAGGCTACTGAACTATTCCACCACCACCAAACTCCACTGTGCGATCCCTTTACAGCGCACCTCACCCTCCCACCCATCCCTGTGTCCTGGCAATCACTACTTTGTTCTCCATCTCCTTAATTCTGGCATTTAGATAATGTTATAAAGATGGAATAACAAGGTCTGTAATCTTTTGAGATAGTATTTTTATATGAACATAATGCACTTGAGATCTATCCAAGTTACCACATGCATCAATGGTTCATTTATTTTTAATGCTGAGTAGTACTGCATTATACAGATGAACAGTTTGCTTAACCATTCACCTGTTGAACATCTGAGTTGTTTCCAGGTGTTGACTATTATGAACATAAATATTTGTATAAGGGTTTTTATATAAATTCAAGTTCTTATTTCTCTGGCAATAAATACCCACAAGTACAACTGCTGGGTCATATGACAAACGTGTTTGGTTTTATAAGAAACTGCCTATTTTCCATGGTGACTGTACCATTTTACATACTCACCAACAATGTATGAAACACTCAGTTTCTCCACATCCTCACTAGTATTTAGTATTATCACCACTTTTGTTTTAGGTATTTTAATAGATGTATAGTGATAGTTCATTGTGGATTTAATTTGCATTTCTCCAAAGGCTAAAGACATTAAACATCTTTTCGGGTGGTTATTTGCCATCCACAAATCATCTTCGGTGAATTATCTGTTTGTTCACTTCCTTTCCCCATTCTCTAAATATGTTGTCACTTTTTACTGTTGAGCTTTCAGAGTTCTTTATATTCTAGATACAAGTCTTTAATCAGATACAGTCTTTGCTTTGCACAGATCTTACATGCACCAAGTTCAAATACTATAGTTTCAATAACACCATTCTCCCAACACTACTCAAATTTCAGTTACCACAAATTTCATTTAACAGTAATCGCATGAAGTACAAACTTTGTTGCTGGCTCTTTAGTCCACAACTCACTACATATAACATAAATGCTCATGATGATGAGTGGGTGATCATACCACTTCTTCCTAGGTCTGTCTGACAGGTCACTAAAAATTCGTTTCTCAGTTCACACACAGATGTCAAGTGTGTAGTTGTAGGACTTCCTCATC